TGCTTTTGCTATGACGCACAAGTAACCTTATCAAATTGACAAGAGGTCATCTGATCGCAGGTTTAAGAGGAGAACAGTTCTGCTTATAATTGGAGCGCCCAATCTATAATCTCCCAAGAAACAAAAAAAGTTGGCGTTTTTAAGAATTTTCAAACATGGATTTTCACAATACAGTGATATGCTTCCTGGAATCCTGCAGAGGCCCCGTCCTGGGCCTATACACGTGGCAGCGCAGGGAGGCCTGAGTTGGGCTTAGACCCCGGGCTCATGGGAACCGTCCCGCGGCCCTCCGCTGCTAGGGCTCCGAGGAGCTCCAGGGAACGATCCCATAGAGGGCGGGGAGGATCCCCCTCAGAGCGGGATTGAGACTATTCTGGGCAGGTCCCGAAACGTACGGAGGTCGGACTCCCAAACAGGTATAAATGGTAACACACATCAACTGCACAAGATACGCTCACTATACGCCAATTACTCCCGACTGTGTTACTTCCCGTGAATCCCACTCACCGGAAAACTAACTTGATCGTCGGAGTGCCCTCGGGGACGACCTCGGGGCTCCCCTGTCAAATCACCCTCTTGTTCGTTTTGCAGGCTTGGGACACGCTCTCCTCATCGGCACGCCGAGCTCATCAGGTCAGCTCGATCCGAAGAAACTCAGCGCTTCTTCACTTCCCAATAAATTGGTTTCACAGACATGTATTGCATGTGGTTTCATGGTTTGACAAACAATAACCATGTTATGTGGCCCTCACAGGGGTGGTCTAGCGGTAAGCGGGTTCTTAAGAACTCTTGAGATATTGGATTCGAATCTTACTCTGGATTTAAATCCCTATGACTTGCCCTGAGTTGCTGCGTAGGGCTGTGGAACACTCCTCTGGTTTGGTGTGCTGCTCGAATGCTAGGGTTCGAGTCCGGGGTTACCAAAAAAAAAATTTAATAATAATGTTATGTGCAGGACTGGCATCGTGTACCTGTAAGAGAACAAAGTGGAGTTAATTGCGTGTGCAGGAATGGCAGGTGTAGCTGTACCAGTACCCTAATTATGTGGCCGACAGCAACAATAATATAACTAAACAACGAAGAATATTAGTGCGCATTACGCTGTAAAACCCACTCATTTACTACAAGATTGACTGCCTTCATCTTCACGGCATTATTATCATGCATGAAGGGAAAGCGGCATCATTCTACTGTAATTCGTGTGAGCCAGTGAAAATCATCATTACCGAGGATGATAGTTTATCTAGGGTTTTTGAAGTTTGAATCATTATAATCCTTTGAGCCTGAAGAAAAAGAGGGAAAGAAAATCATCGTGCTCCTTGATTTTATCAAACAAATGAGAAAAAGAATGAAAAAAGAAACGTATTTCTTGAGTCAATGGTGAGGATGGAAGGCTCTTGAGCATGCATGCATGGATTCATTCTAATTAATTACTGCAAGTACTTACTTGAATACTTAAACCCCTCGCGCACACGATTAGAGAAATACATTACTAAATTTGTAAACCGGATCTCTGCATGGTTTCTCCTATTACAGAAAGAAACCTGGCCTCCACTATTCTGGACATGATTGGAAGAGATCAATAATGCTTAATTGGAGCTATCCGGTACAACTGCTGCTTCAATATTATGCTTGACACTAGTACTAGCTAGGAAGACTAACCTAGGACTCAGGCGTGATAAATAAATTATTAACATGCAATTAACTAGGACGTTTCCCAATTACTACTACGCAGTACACATTAGAGCACTTAGGGGGATATCCACGAGGTTTGAAGAAGGTGGGCCGGTGGGGTATCCGTTTGCCAAACGCCTTTCTTGTTCCTTTACACTTGAGTTGACGTTCGCAATGAATTTCGAATAAATACTACCCAGTACTGCAAGAGAATTGACGGAGGAAGAGGAAGGAAAGGATGCCCTCCTATATATGAGCCTCTGTGCAATAATAATGGGTCGTGACTCGAAACGTTTATAGAGAGAGAGAGGACTTTTAATTGAAAACGTATAATCTCCAATTGAGTAGTATCTTTTACGTATTCCACTTCACCAGTGTTGCTTGCAAAATCTTTTACAGGGTACATCAATGTAAAGGGATAATTGCAGAAACTCCCTGAGGCTTTTGATAGTTGCACTCACCTCCCTTGAGATTTAAAAAGTAGTACTAACCTCTTTTGAACTTAAGATTTTAAGAGCAACGTCAACCCATGTTAAAAAAAGTGCCATTAAAAAAGTCTTTTGGGAAGTGAGATAATAATTTTATTTCATTTGTACCTTTTTTTGGCCTATTGTGAGATATTATTAGTCAGAGAATGAAAAATATTAAGAGATGACAGCAATGAGTGAAATACAGAAGATATATGTGCAAAGAAAACAATGACAGCAGTAAAATTTGAAGAAACAACAAACATATGTTCAGAAATATGAGATTTTAAAACATATAAAGAGACTGTTGATCAAGCAAAAAAAATCACCTTTGATCAGTACAAGAGAGTTTCTTATTATCATACTTTTATAGTATATATTGATCTTACACAGTACTATTTATCACATTTCATACACAGTTATGATCTCACATGATCGAGACAACAATTTCATCATACTATAACTAACATCACAACTTTGTGTATTAAGTTGAAATGATTAAGGATTGCTTACATATCATCTTTTGATTGCTACAATATTTTAAAATAAAAATTCTCAGATTTTGCCTTGATTTCTACATTCTCTCTCCTTTTGTTTTATGAATGCATAAAATAAAATAAGTTCAATCAAACCCACCAAAACTTATCTGGAGATATCTTTCTGGTACATTTTCTTGCTTCTGCTTCTCTTCTATGTAGAAAATATATAATTTTTATTGCCCTCTCAATCGTTATCAATCACAAAATAGCATCATGTTGGATCATCAAAATGACACCATTTTGTAAGTGCACTTGCAGTGCCCAATAAAACAAAAACAAAAAATAATCATTAATCTTATTTAATTAGTTATCTTAGACTTGTTTATTGTCCTAATTTTTTTTGTCCCAAATTTGTTTACTAAGAACCTTAAACTCTTAGGATATGAAGTAAATTTATTATATCTTATGTCAATTATAGGTCCCAAATTCATGATAGAGGAGGTCGGTACTATTTTTCAAATATCAAGAGAGGCGAGTGCAACTGTCATAAAACCTCTGGGGAGGTTTCTGCAATTATCCCTAATGTAAAATTAGTTCACATAAAGATGACCCCATATCTATATTCCCATGGCTGTCATGTTGAATGAAAAAACAGAGAAAAGTAAAGAGGGACTGGGACTGGGACTAGAATCTATTAGATAAGCCACCAAATTTTTCTTCGCCTTTAAAAACCGCGCCTGCCTCGCTACTCGCCACGGGCACAAACCCCATTGTAAAAGCAATGTCCCATCCTATCGCTTCACCAGTCACCAGTATTATTGTCTCGGACACACCATCACTGGATTCACGACAACAAAATAATCACTGTTATGGTATAGATAATTGTCGTTGCTAATGCATCATACACTAGTCTGCTATGATATACTCCTAGGAAATAGAAATACACACTCAGATATTCTACCGTAGTCCGCTAATCGTCCTTTTTGAGGATCTCAGACTTGTAGCTTTTCGACTTTGTTTTTCTACCTTTTTATATCTTTTCTCAGCATTTTTTTTTTGGGGGTGGTTTCTAAAGCAGTAGTGTAACCTTCTTTAAAGACTACACTTTATTACTAGTAACTTTTCAGAGTCAGGGGCGCAAATGCAATGGACACCAAACTATAATATAATAATGTGCGATCTCCAATCCCATTCCAAAGTTTCAATTATTAAAGTAACGTGTAGAGTACTAACCCGATAACTTCTTTTTACGTTCTGCTTCGTGAAATGAGGCCTCGGAAAGTTTTTAGTGCTACCATTTGAACTGAGCAAATCAAATCAATTAAGCACGTATCAACTGTAAGATGATAAGGTGAGGTGAGATTGGCAGCAGAGGTCGTCTTCATGGTCGTTGATATGCAATCATTTCTATTAAGAAAATAGAGCATCTCTACATCATCTTGATCACTTTGTCATCATCTTTTACTTCCGGCCCAACAATCTTCACTGCTCTTAAGGGACAAATATCATGGGATACCAATAGGGCAAAATTATGAAGAAGAGAAAAGCTGACAAAAAGGAGATTACAAAGCAAAGCAATCAATGGGTTCGAGGATGAAGAGCCTCCCTCTCTCTCTCTCTCTCTCAGCCATAATTATGAACACTTTCGGTATCATGTTGCTATTGATGAAGGTCATCAAGAAAATTATTTGTTCATAACCTGTCTCCCAATCATTTTGACGAGATGGGTTTGTCATTGGGCTTTTATATCACAGCACTACTAGGACGAGAGGTTAAGTATCCAATTGGTGAAACCCAGCTTGCCATTAACCAAGCAACCCTCTCCTTCCCCCTATCTCCAATACATCCTTGTACTTATGAACCCTCTCTTTTCCCCTTTCTCCAATACTATATCATAAATATCCACGGTCCACTACAAATTTCACCAAGGGATTTTCACTTATTTTTTTCCTGTTTTGGTAGACCAAATCATCTTTTTATAGATTATAGGAGGACATTTCCATTTACAACATTCTACACACGGGCTTTGAGGGGATGTCATACTTGAATGAGGATTGGAGCTGGGAGAGATTAAGTGCTAGACTCAAGGTTGACGCAAAAGTCGTCCAGATCCCCCAAGCTTTGCAGCAAGAAGCGACTTAAATAGTTGAATGCCTATTCCATTTATCTTGGGCTGAACCAGAATCATCCATCACAATTTTCTTGTTTCTATGGGGAGATCCCAATTTATAGGAAGCCTAACAATGCGGCTTTGACACCACAGACAGAAAGCCAAGGGACCGCTAGGCACACGAAGCATACAAGGCACCAATAATTAGGAAATAAAGGACAATATTATTGAACGATTAATTAAGTCCAGTACATAGAACATAGGCTAAGCAAATAAGTAACATATTGCTACCTCCAAAGAATATTAGATATAATGACTCAAAATAGTATCAATTCAAGCTATATTCTGATATTTACAATGAAATGTCTAGCCCTGATGAATAAGCCATCAATTATTCCATTATACAGAAAATTAATTCCTTTGAAAGAGACAAGTTCTCCTACACAGAATAAAAGATGTCCGCCCTCCTCTCTGAACAAAATGGGAATGAAATTAGAATACACATTCACCTATCTCAGCCTATTCATTCTTTACTACCGAGAACTGCAACTTGGCTATGACTACTTGTAAAACTTGATCGGACTCTTTGAAGGAAACAAAACACCAGGGCAACAAAGGAAATAAAGTATACACCACCTGACACATCTAGATGCACATTAAGTAAGACAGACTCAAAACATTCAACATCACTGTCAATATACGAATATACACTGATGATTTCCAGCATTTTGAACCCTTCAAAAAAATTTACGTCAACAGGTGAATTCACCTTCTGGGCACTCTTTTGGTTAATCCAGAGACTTCTGCACGGAAAGATATAATGCAATATAATGAAACACCAGATACACAGTCATCATTCTTTTGGTTTATTTCTAAAGTAAAAATCAAATATTCATCAATAGGGCAATAAGTAATGAATGTAAAGACCCAGAGGTAATGCTGCTCATTACAATAAGACAAATTCCAATGGAGAGATTTTCCCTATCAGGGTGTGGACATTATTGAGAACTCGGCAAATTCATGAATGAGCATGACAATTGGCTTGACTGAAAGGAGAAAAAAGATCCAGATTCTGTTGTGTTAAAGATCCAGATTAAAAAATATAGGCCTTAAACCCAAGATCCTATCCCCTATTTCCATCTGTTAAGACTTGAACCAACTCGGTCTTATTCAAAAGAATGGTCATTTTCCCCAATCCAGACACCCCCAGGGGCTCAGTTATAAATTGCATTGCAAGAGTGGGAGATAAAATGCATTTGATTCACAAACAACTCTTTGGCAGATAAATCTTAAAATCAACATCTTAAAAAGGGCACTAAATGGAGGAGAGAAAAAGGGGCCAGCCTCGAAGGCTATCATAGACTATAGCATGTTCTGAATAAAAATAATATTATTGCTTAATGAGATAAATGATTTCAAAACATGCATTTCTTCATCTGCATTTTCACTTTCTCAAGGTTGCACAACAATAGGTCATCAAAGATCAAGCTACACGATTCTCCACACTGAGAAGCAATACAAGAATGACTACATGCCTGAATTGCATTTCAGGGCCCATTTTTTTAACAGTAAAACATTCAAATTAAACTGTTAAGCAGATAAAATCACACTCTCCAATAGCAGCTTATTTTTTCCACATATGTGAAGGTGCCAAATATCATGCCCAATGTTGCATACTATACAAGTAAGACTGGCAGATCTATTACTTCATACTGGGAGAAGATTGAATAGAACAAATGACGTCAAATTGTAGATGTTGTAAGACTACAAGTTACAATATTCTTTGAGTTTCCACATTTGACTCATCATACTCAACAAAGCCCACAAAGATTCCAATCCGAGGCTTTTACAAGATCCCCAGTTAACGAGATATTTCTACTGGATAATATTACCATTCCTTTGATTTTCCATTTTAGACCCATAAGTCTATCCAAGACTTCTAGTGATACAACTTACCAACACATCTCTGATTACCACTATTACCTTTTTCTTTGAGTTTCCAATTTAGACCACACTTAATCCATGCTGCAAATTGTCAACAAGACTTGAATCAAAGGCCATGTTTAGTTTCAATTACCAGTGGAAGGGACCATAAATTCCTTAAAAGAGGGGAGAAATGCATACTGCTACAATGAAGGGAAAAAATATAATTTCTTCAATCTATTCTTAAATCAGAAGTTAGGATTTTTCAGAGAGAAGGGGGGAAAAGTTTCTTCTACCATCTCCTTCTCAACATCATTTTATTTTTAACTATCCTTTTCTTTTCACAATCCTTAACTACATTTTCCAAGAACCATAATAACCAAATCCTATCCTTTACACAAGCCTTAACTTCATCTTCTTGTATTACCAGTCATCCTCCAACAACCATAATAACTCCAAAGCCTAGCAAAAGGAAATCTTGCGTCCAGAGAGGATATGCATACGGTTGATGAAATTGCAGTCATTTAATCTTCTGACATAGCAAATCGCTAACTGAGCCTATTTAGCCCTCGAAGCTAAGTTTTTGAGTGTGGTCGAGGCCTAATGGAAATTTCGCGGCAAGGAAAGATGCTAGAAAGAAGACAGAAGCTGCTCCAAGGAGCCTGGATCTAGTGTTGGACCCTAGATCTCTCAGTTAATATTGATAAAACTGCAGGAAGGTGGAAATTTAGTCACAGAACCAATCCCATCGAACATTTTGAAGGGGAGGCTTATTTCTATAATTCATTACATACTTTTTAAGTGAAGTAGCGGGTCAATTCATTCATCATTATATTCTGTTTACCTCAATTTCTTTCCATCAATTATGGGTCTATTTGGATGGCCTGTCTTTGGCCTGTTTTAGAAAACAAAGTTTGTTTAAAACAACATCTATAATAACAAAGTTTTAGAAGAACACCAAAAAGAAGTACATTAAATAGGACACCGGTGGTGGGTGGGGGAGGGTGAACATAATCTTTTGAAAAACACAGAAAGTTTTCAGTGTTTTGGACAGACACCGGCATTTTTCTAAAACAGATACAGTAAAGTAAACAAAAACCCAAAAAGCACACTATCCAAACGGATCCTATAGTCTTAACTGCATAACTTGCAAACAGTATCAAAAATCATATCATGAGCAACACTGGTAAAACAAAACAACACTTGAGTAATATAAGATAATAGGCAAAAGTGGCTGCATTGTTGGATTTCAACTTCATTCTTATCTCATCTATTATCCACCATAATTCAAATTTTTGGGGGTAGTTCAACACAAAATATACATAGGAATTCTTTTTTTTACGGAACTTTACGGAAATAGACAGAAAAGCAAGTTTTCTTCAGCTACCGACTTTTGGGGAAGGGTGATTACGAATTATATAGCATATTGCATCTTTACAGATGAAGTTGCTGGGAGAGAAGGAAAATTGCTTGCAGTACTATTCAATTTATGGAAGAAAATGTAATGTCAAAGAAACAATAACAAAATGCATTTGGGGATGTAGAAAGAATTGTTCATTCCTCTCAACAAGAGAAGAAAAAATATCATGCCAAAGAAGTTTAATTCTAGTAGAAACACAATAGTCATTATATGGAATTTGTCTTCTAATATAGGTCTTAGCAGGACATAATAGCAGGACATAGTCATTATATGGAATTTCTGTACCTCAGATATATGGACTTGAACAATAGTAAGTAAAGGACTCCTCCAAATTCTCAACTGCAACATCAGAGGACTAAAAAATTACAAAGAACTGTCTGCCTTTAATTAGCCTGCTACCTTTATCGCACCCATCTCATCAATCTTTGAGCTCTTATGCTGCAAGATTTGGAATTGTAAGAAGGCAACACAACTATGAAGAAGCTATTTCAAATGACATAAAAAAAGCAGAACAGGTTAATAGTGACAGTCCAACCACAGGGAAATAGAATGAAAGAACATGTCAACCATGTACCTTACTTTTCTTGTGCTTGTGAACATCACTGAGATCTTCATCCCCATCATGCTTCCTTTTCTGAAACTCAATTAGGCAAAAGAGGTCTTAAATTAGATGTAGTACATCAAAACGTAGAAAGAAAGATATGACATCCCTACACATACAAAGTTTGATGGGTTACAGCAACTTGCCAAAACCATCAACAAAATTTACCCAGCAAATTTGGGTTCTAAATTCATAAATCACATATTTTGCTCAGTGATAATGGGCTAGTGATCATGAAAGGGCAATCAAATAAAGAATTAACCAATTAAAGTGAAAATTTATGGAGCATTATTAAAAGTCGTGACACATGACTTTCGTTAAGGCATAGCAGTAGCAACAGAGCATAACATCCAAACCTTTTCATGATGTTTCTTTGAGTGCTCAGCACCAGAATCATGATGGCCACTTCTATCTTTCTTTTTCTCCTTGTCTTTATCTTTACTCCGATCTTTATGACGATGTTTGTGCTTCTTGTGTTCTTTATCCTTGTCCTTGTCCTTGTCCTTGTGCTTTTTATGCTTCTTTTCCTTGTCTTTAGACTCGCTTTTTGATTTTGCAGCTATGGTAGGAATACCCTTCTCAGACTTCAAAACACACCGATGATGCGACGTATCAGTACTCACCCATCAGGTATAAAAAGAGTAATGAAGTAAAACAAATAGAAAAAGAATCTCGGAAACCCTTGTTTTAAGTGAATCAACGACATAAAACAAAGAGCCATCGTGGATCATTAGCAGCTAAATCAACAAACTATAATAAGTAGACTCTTACAGGAGGCAGATCAACTGGTGCAGTCTCCCTTAATTGGAAGGCTTCTCTCAGAACATCTAGGTCAAATGGCTGTATGCGTGCATTTGTCTCTCTTGAAAAGGAAGTGTCCTTAATGAGCTGATCCAATTGCATACCTTCACCTTTCCTAATTTCTGTGTCTCCCACCACATTATGAAGATAGTGTGTATCGGAGATAGACAAGGGTAGTGACTTCTTACAGAAGAATTCGTGGTGAGGCAACAGTTTGTAGTGGCTTATAAGATCCACAGCACCTGTAAGTTCTCTAGGTCCTATTATCGTAAATAGCACCAAATAGGTAGACGTTACAAATTACGGAAACAAATCTTCGACATTTCAACAGACAATAAACATTTTAGGCAAACCTACACATGAAAGTTTCAACTACGTTACCAAACACTTTGAGATACATTCCATAGAACAGAATAATCAAGTAAAAGAGCTCATTCTCACAGTAGCACAAGGCCAGTCAAAATTTGGAAGGGAATTAAATGGGGAAAAAACTAAGCAAGGAAGTCCGACACCGTAATTTCCTCAAAAGCCTGCTCCATTTGATTCATTCACAAGAAAGCAAATAGCAAAAGAGCCATCTTCTTATTCAATTCAAACCAACTTATGAAATGGATGGCATGCACACAAACTCTAGAAGTTAAAAAAAAAAATCTCAATCTCGATCTGATAGATTGAAAAACAAAATCATGCCAAACAAGAATGAATACACCATAATATGGTAAAAGGAAATTTCACGCAACATCTGATCCTTAAAGTATCTTACCTCTTCCAAACTTCTTGCTATCAGGATCCATCAATCAGCATCAAATATGTAAGAAGACCATTACAACCTGATATTTAACCTGCAAAAAATGGTATAAATCAGCAACTAAAATTGAATATAAATCCTTAGTTAAAAGAGCAAATACAAAAGGCAACATCATGTTACTTAGTTCTCCTTCATCAAAGTGATTCAAATGTTAACAATCAGTAGTAAGTACCACCATAAAAAGCATGGGTATCAACAATTCAAATGAAAAGCGAAGATAATACCCGTCCATATCACTTTGATAGTCTTTTTTTTTTTCACACAATTTAAGAAAAATTTGTTAACTTTGCTGGAAGAGTAAATCTAGCCTACTGTTTTTCTAAAATACCCTTACATTAATATTAGGAGTGTGACTAATCATTATACCTTTACATTAATTACAACAACAATACTGATGGAAAGTTGCACCGTTCAAGGCATGAACCAAAGCAATTATTGATAAAGAAATTAACTATATTAAATAAGGTAAGTTATACTCACTGATAACAAAGCATATTAATAAGGGTATTTTGGAGAAGTTAATTATATTTTTCAATTGGAAAGTGGACTATAATTTAGGGCGGATAAAAAAGGAAAACAAGACTATCAAAGTGGAACAGAGGGAGTAATTTATAAGGACAAATTGAACGGGCACTATCCTTCTTTAATATTGTATTGCCATTTCATAATAGTGTTAGGCACTCCCACCTTTCGAAGAAAATACACAGGCACCATCTCCAAGATAAATAATTGAAAAAAAAAGGAAAGGAAAACATGCAAAAATAACATGAACCTCGGTTGCTCTAATTAACTTCGTATGCTAAACAAGTACAGGTTGCCTAGGTTGGAGAAAACGTTGGGTATACAAGTGGCGGACTACTTCAAAACTCAAACAATCAAACAAGATTGATTAGAAAGAGCAGGGTAATGTAGATTGCAATATAGTAAGCTTACCACAAAAAGAGAATTAACAATGAAAGAAAACGAGGGCGATAAAGAAAGAAAAGAGGCTTTTGTATAAAGCCCATGGCAGCTTCAAAAGTACTCCCTCTGTCCCAAATTTAGAGACTTTTTTGGGACAGCAACTTTTTATGTACAGTAGATTATTATTGCCAGATGCTTTACTTCCAAATTTACCTCACTAGAAGTACATTAGACAGCTGAAGTTTGTGTTTTTCAAAGAGTCATAATTCTATGGGTCCCATCTCAATCAAATGCATCTCTTCATACGTTAAAGACACACACCAATATTAGCCTTATAAAGTGGGAGTTGTCCTGCACACTCTTCTAGCTTCTCTAAATGGCAATAAATAGTGGGTCCCACTAAATTTCTTGAGACTTTTTTACACATGCACTACGAGGTAAGAATGAAACTGTGGAAGGGAAAAATTTTAGCATGACTCTAATTTTGTGACAATGAAAAAGGTGAAACATGACATTAATAATGGGATGGAGGGAGTATCAGATTGGACACATGAAATAGATGAATCTAATTTCCTTTTCGTTTGTTTCAAGAGATCTATCGATCACTTCCGCATACAAGCTAAAAATAAGAGGGGTCGGTATATAAATTTTGATATTTATCTTCCTTTTTTTTGTTTTTATCTAATTTTTTCTGAGAATTTCTTGTATTTTCATCACCTTACCTAGGCCTAGCGAAGCACGGAGGCGGTCTTTTTTTCTGTAATCAATCAAGAGAAACCGAAACCCCTTTTTATTAGTTTACCTAAGAGTTACTCACTGGGTGGGTTGGTTGAAATTGCAGAATAGGTAGATGTTACAGACGATAAACAAATATCCCATAGTGCGTCGATCAGTTAATTCAATTAATTCAATAAGAATTGGGTATTAGCTCTCCATTTGGTTGGTACCATTCAATTGAATCCAACTCAATTGTTTCTTTATTCAAACAATGAATTTTCAAATTCAATCAATCTTAAGGAATTTATGAAGTTGCTCCTGTCCAGGCTTAGAAGGTCTCAACTTTTACACATGAAATAGACATCTCTATGTGCAGGGATAAGGCGAACTATACTTAGGCTCCACAGCACCTGGAGATTACAATAATAACATACTAGATATATTCTTAGAACCTAGCCAACATAATTGGCAACCAGTTTCTAAGCAACCATGTCATGACAAAACCTAAGACCTCAGGTAAACACTGCATGGCATTAATGCTCTAAATATTTCAGGATCTCCTGCTCCGAAATTCCAGGTGATCATAGCGCTTGATCTAAGGAGAAGCCAGTCCATGCCTATGCAAATATTGTACATTGGAATGGAAGCATGCTTCAGTATGCTTCTGGAGTCCCTAAACTACTGGTTGTTGTCATTGTAAACGGGGGCAATCAAATGATGTCAATAAACTAGGGAGACATACCATCCAGTTAGTGAGGCAATTACCTTTTATATCCACCTACCATATCGACCCGCATAGCATGCATTTAACGGTTACCATGTGACAACAGTATGTGTCACTCTAATGTTAAAATTTAAGTTGGCGCTTCTCAATACCTGCCAGATTTATACTTTTTCAAGTCAAAGGCCACACGCAACCTCCTGAAATGCCCATCATTTATCGTAGTTTTGAACTATATGTTGACCTGAGTAAATCAGAAAGCTTCTCCTGAATGCAACATTGCAGATTAAAGTCTTCAACCTCACCATCCGACAGGTTTAACATTCTCAACTTTTTCATGTTGAGCACTTGAGAGTTCTCAATTTTGCCAGGTAAAATTCTCAACTTTGCAACGTAAGGTTCTAGAATTTGATAATGAAGTTCTTGCTTTGTAACATGGCAGCTCTAAAACACCTTGGTAGATATACCTCCCATTTGAACACCGTTATTTTGTCAGCAATTTCAATATTGTCAACAGAAGAATCGAAATCCAACCGAAATACACATCAACTAATGAAGCGTATAACAGAGCAAAAAAACAGATAGCTAAGCTAAGAGCCAAAGTTCTGATATCCTCCCATGGTGAAATCCTGGAACTTCAATCACAACATAGTTCTCTTATCTGCTAACAGCCAATGATTGCTCAAGAATTTATCCAAAAGTCACCTTAATGCTTCATAGATACTACAAAGGCAACAATGAACTAAAAGTAGCCAGAAAAAGTAGAATAATCCCAGGAAAGGGCTAAGGAGTTAACTTCCATGACAATCAAAGATTCCATTTTTATCCCAGATATCCATCTAAAATTCCCAACAAAGAACAACCCAGAAAAAAAGAAAAGGGCTAGTGCGTGCACAATGATTCAGCAAAACAGTACCGAATTACACTCGTACACCCAGTCAAAATTTGAGGTACTGCTGGTCACTAATCAAGATCAAAAAAAAAAAGAAGAAAAGAAAAGCTCACCTCAGATTCCGAAGTGGTTCGCTCCGCTACTGATGCAGAAGAAACGGTGCTTCCGTCAAAGGCTTCCCGATTGGAGTGAAGAAGTTGAGGGTGGTGAGTTAGGGTATTGAGTTAGCAGATACTTCGTCGTTTTCAGCTGTTCTCTGTTACAGAAATAAAAACCCTAATTCTTGTTCCTGGAAAACTGGTGACTCCCACTCCGGTTATGAAAGAGGGAACGAAAATTGGGCTCCCTTCTTATTATTTTCTATATGTTGTCCGATGTCGTTTGGGGTGTCAATCTACTGCTATTGTGCTTTGTATTTCTGGGGCGATGCATTGTGTCATTTTTTTCTTTTTTACGTTGTTTGGCTGGTGATATCGTCATCATGCACTGTGTTTCCCTTCCCGCAGCTGGAACGCTTTGACGTGATTGCCCTTCTATTCATGCTGTAGGAGGGGGTTTATTGTCAGTTTACTTAGATACCAACTTATCCGGTTATCCCCCTAAGAGCGTAAGAATATTTTTTTTTTTTTAGGAAAATTTTTTTTTGTTGCATTTCAATAATTTGAGATGTTGTTTGGATTAAAGATTATTTAAATTTTTTTTATAATTATGCTATAACACTTTTGATGATGTGATATGTATAATATAAAACATATTACTTAAATAATTAAAAAATATATTAATGATACATACGAAAATCTTATCACAAAATAATGACAAACCAAATACTAAATTTTTTTTTTTTATTAAAGTGGGATAATTTGAATTTGGGGCCTGTACTTATACTCCTCTCCCATGAGCTACCCTGTCCATTCATCTCCTCAAGTTCTATACCTTCATTCATAGATTACTACGAGCATTTTTTCACACAAACTATAGCATTTTAATAAAATATAGGGAATATTAAAAGATAGCTAATTTTAGTGAAACAAACATATTGCCCATCGAAATATGAGTGATTATAACTTATTAATAATGAATATTATCAACCCTGAAGTTATTATCCTTATTAGGACTATTGATTTGTGCATTAATATTCACACTAATAAAGTTTAAGGTACTAACAAAATTTTTAAGAGCAGAAGTCAAGCAAAGATACCTGGGAATATTCTCATTTGCAAAAGTTAAATATGGAGATTTATTATAGAGAAAATTCAGAATTAGTTAAAGCTATTATTGGTAACTATTAGAGTTTACTTTTTTGATTAATTTTTCTTATACTATCATGCATTTAACGTTGATAATGTATACGCTGTTAAATATGAATGTATATAAAATTTACACCGTCATACATCAAACGATGATAATATATACATTGTTAATATATATAAGATTTACTTTTACTTTTTTTGCTATTAAAATTTTAAAATCTAAGATACAAGATCAAACAAGTGTGTCAAATAAATTTATTATCAAAAATAAAAATTTTAAACAAGGTGAAATAATAAAATAAGAACTTGTATTGTGTTCTTAAGTTCGTACAACTTATCTAAATATTAAAAAAATGATCGTGCTGTTTCATTGCCACGAAAGTAAAGCTTACTAGTCAACAATTCTTGCATCGGCACGAGAAAATAAAAATCTCGTGTATATGGTTGTACGGGTACAGGATATATTTTTCAGGGATAATTTCAGAAACCTCTCCTGAGGTTTCTGACATTTATACTTACCTCCCTTGTGGTTTAAACAATTACACTGACCTCCCCTGAGGTTACTAATCCTTTACAAATTCAGTCCAAATAATTAAAATATTATTTTAGAGAGTGAAATTAGAATTTTGTACCTGATTTGTGCTTTGTGTTACATGTCCAATGAATGATAAAGTGTTACAAATTAATTAACAATTAATAAACTTTAAGAAGCGTAGTTTATATGCAAATACGTATTACATATTTAAAGTATCAACTCTTTACGGGTATTTTACTTTCAAATATTTACTTTATTACAAATATTTATTCTCAAATATATATTTGTATTTACTCTCAAATATTTAATTTTTGTTAAACACAAAACCTACCAGTTTTTCTCCCGTAGAAATATTAATATAACACTTTTTCAATTTTAATTATAAATATTTATGTATTTAACATAAATTAAATGATTCAGGATAAAATATCCATAAAGAGCCAATACTTTACTCATGTAATGGATGAAAGCCATAAAAAATTAATATTTTATGAGGCCATTTATTTTTAAAAAATATTTAATTTATATTAAATAGATAACCTACTGATTTTTTTTGCAAGAATATTACTGTAACACTTTTTAATTTTTAATTACAAATGTTAATATATTTATCATAAATTAAATATTTGAAAATAAAATATCTGTAAAGAGCCGATACTTTAAATAGGATATGCGTATTTGCCTATAAACTACACTATTTAAAGTAAGGAGTATAGTTTATTGATTTAAGTTAAGGAGTGTAGTTTATTGATTTAAGTAAGGAGTGTAGTTTATAGGCAAATACGCATAACTTATTTAAAGTACCGTCTCTTTACAGGTATTTTATTTTTAAATATTTAATTTATAATAAATATATAAATATTTGTAATTAAAAATTAAAAGGTGTTACAATAATATTCTTACAAAAAGAAAATCGATAGGTTATCTATTTAATATAAATTAAAATTTTTTTAAAAAAGAAATGGCCTATAAAATGTTAATTTTTTATGGCTTTCATCCATTACATGAGTAAAGTATTAGCTCTTTATGAGTATTTTATTCTGAATCATTAAATTTATGTTAAATACATAAATATTTGTAACTAAAATTAAAAAAATGTTATATTAATATTTCTACGGAAGAAAAACTGATAGGTTTTGTATTTAACCAAAATTAAATATTTGAGAGTAAATACAAATCTGTATTTGAGAATAAATATTTGTGATAAAATAAATGTTTGAAAGTAAAATACATGTAAAGAGCTGGTACTTTAAATAGGCAATACGTATTTGCCTATAAACTACGCTCGTTAAAGTTTATTAATTGTTAATTAATTTGTAATACTTTGCCATTCATTGGACATGTGGTACAAATGACAAATCAGGTACAAACTTCTAATTTCACTCTCTAAAATAATATTTTAATTATTTGGACTGAATTTGTAAAGGATTAGTAACCTCAGGGGAGGTCAGTGTAATTGTTCAAACCACAGGGGAGGTAAGTGTAAATGTCAGAAACCTCAGGGGAGGTTTCTGAAATTATCCCTATTTTTCATTGCAAAACCACACTCGGACCTCCAATGGAAATGCATTTGGAAATCATAACATGGTAGACCATTCCTGAGAAAGGTAACACAGTAGGCTATCTTCTAATGCAAATTTTTTTTTTTTTTTAAGTAACCCGGAACATGCTCTGACCTGAGCCATTTGGACCCGAGTCAGCACACTAAATCGGAGGAAGTCGACAGCCCCATACAACTTTCCTGGACAAGTCAGGATGTGCGACGCAGCGGACACGAATCGAGCCCTGGTTAATAGGAAACCAGCAACATAAGGGCAACCCCTTAACCGTTGCGCCATATGCCCGGGGGCATCTTCTAATGCAATTTGATCCTAGCCGGTGACTAGGCCTGCAGGCGACTCGAGCTGCTCGCGAGCAGCTCGAGTCAAAGCTCGGCTCGAGCTCGTGTTGACCGAGCTCGAGCCGAGCTCGAGCCGTTCGTTAAGACAAACGAGGCGAGCTCGAGCCTTCGTTTCTTTGGCTCGATAGCTCGACGAGCCGCTCGTTAGGCTCGAGTCAGTGTGAAATTACAAATATACCCCTGAATCAATTAAAATTTACAATTTCCTCTATTAGGTTAGGTTACCCAATTTTCTTTCTTCACTTCCTTGGATCAATCTTCTTCCTCTGGCTCCGCCGACCGACTGTCCCACTGCCAAACTCCTAATTCGTACTTCCGCTACCGCCATCTCTGCTAGCTCCACCTCCACCACTTCCGCTAGCTCCTCAGCAACCTCCAAGTTTTCTCTGCTGACTGTCCTCAGTCCTAACTCTGTCGCAAGTGCAGCTCCAATGAGCGGGGGCACTCGGGTCCCTTACCTGAGAATCGAAAACACCAGATTCATCCCAGTATGCACGGAGCCAGAAAGGCAACCCTCTTGAAACCATGGGAAGTCCCAAACTCCCAATTCCCCGTTACTGCCATATCTGCTTCTACTAGCTCCATCTCCAGTTTCTCCACCGCTTCCACCAGCTTCACATAGGCAACCCAACCAGCTTTCGGAACCCAACCACTTCAACGAGGCTGACTGACGAACCCAACCAGCTTCTCAGTGAATTCCTATCTCCGGATTTTTTCTAAGCTTTTCCAGCGAGCAAGTGCGCAACCCACCGAGCTTTTCCTAGATTTTTGCAGGTATGTACTTAGCTTCTTTTTCTTTCTACTTAATGCGCCGTTTAATTCAACAATTTGTATAATGAAAATTCTATTAATCTGGAATGGTGATCAAGAAACATAATTAAAAGGGACAATTAATATTCTATCCCACTCACTGGACAATGATATGCACTATAATGGTACCTCAGCAGGTTTTTGACTGATTTGCCTTTCTTTCGGAGTATTTGGTGTCATAATTACACCTTAATTGCTCTCATCATCTTTGATGATTTGGAGGAGCTAACTGAGAAAATGAATGATGGTCTACTTTTAGTTGGTTATTTCCGTAATCAATTTGCCAAGTCATCAGTTTCAATTTTGGTTGAATGCACATTGCTGTAATAAATCTGAATTTTACATTTTATTGAAATGCATGACACACTTCCGAGTTCAATAATTTCTATTGTTATTGAACTTTTTCAGTTTTTTGAGACCTGAAAACTTTGGAACTTACAAACTTGAAATGGTTGGTGGAGTTTTGCTTAGACGTCAAAGGAGAAACTAATTGCATTTGGTAAGGTGAAGAAAGTACCATATTTTACCTCTGCAGGATTTGACTATAGAAAAATTCTTTAGGGGTTGAAATGAGGTTTCAGTTAGTATTTTAACAAGAAATACACACACACACACACACACATATATATATGTTACTGGATTATAGATTTGTTGAATTAAGTATCTATATATAATAATAGAGCTACTAAGTGTAGATTTCCTTTTATCTCTTATAAATTGGTTCACTATCTTGTTTGAAGCTTTTGAGTTGAATAATTAAAAAGAATGCAACACTTACACAGTGAAACATTGATAAAAAGGTCCTTGTGGTTCACACATAATATTTAAATTCGGCCTTACTATTTCTTAATTTCTTTTATTTTATTTTTTTGTTTTTCCAGAAATTGAAGGATAGACAAGAGATTGTGTTGCCTATTTCTTGACTTCGGAGATGTTTGAGGTAATTTACCTTTAATTTTCTATTTAGAGTTTTGTCCAATTCTAACTCATGGTATTAAGATCACAGAGGTTAGTGCAGAATTGCAGATGGTTATAGAACGCTGGTGGAGTGCAATCATATATGCGATGGTTATGTGTTGTGTTGAGTTTGTTCCAGTAGGAAATTAAGGCAGTAGGGGACATCTTGCGCCTAATGCAAGGAGCAATATATTGTTTTCTATTGCTGTTTTTTGTCTTTTTTTTAACAGCTTGTGCAATTGCATGGGAAATTGGTGCCCTTTCGATTACATGGAAGAAACTTTGCTATTCTATTGATCTGTTTTACCATTCTTGCGCAATGCAGCAGGCTAACAATGACTACGATCATGTAGATGAACAAACATCTTATGATGTAGGCACCCTTGTGCTCCTGTTAACTTATGGTTTCTTTAAGGATTCGAAGATTTGATATTCTTTTCATATAGATGAATAATGTCAATAATGATAGTTGCGTGATTTGCTTGTACTAATAAGTTGATTTCTTTCACATGTTTATGAAATTTAATGATGCAAATGGTTTATATCATCTTGGAAATTGTTATACTTTTTGCATCTCACATTTGATCTTCTTTTGTCATGTATTTCATTTGCGTCATCTATAACTCATTGGGTATGAGTTTTCTGTTATTAGTATATCTCCATTTAGTTATCACGCATGAGTTCTCTGTGTATTGCTGGTTATCACGCATTTCATTTCTTTGATTGATGGTTTCATTCTTATTTGGCATTTGCATTTTTGCCAAATCGTTTTTCTTATGATTCTTTTAACCTTTAGGAATTTTCTGGAGTTGGAGTTGGTGGACTAATTCTCGCTTCATGTCATGCCTTGGTTCTTGTGGACAACAAGCTGCTTTTAATTTGTATTAGTGGATATTTGTGGAAATTTGGATAATTTGTATTAGTGGGCATCTGGATATTTTTGGATGATTTGTATTAGTGGATATTTGGACATTTATGATTGTATTAGTGCATAATTTGTAGGCCTCAAGATCAAGAATATGTGAAAAATTGTTATTATCATGCTAAATTTTGTCAAAAATATGCGGACAAAATTGCTGTTTTCTTGCTTAAATTTCCAGAAATTTTCGAGCTATTTTCGAGTTCGAACTCGAGCTCCTAACGAGCTAGAAATCGAGCTGATTTCGAGCTATTCGTGAGCCAGAAAATCGAGCGGAACTCGAGCTATTCGCGAGCCAGAATTCGAGCTAGGCTCGCGAGCTATAAACGAGTCGATCTCGAGTTTTCTTTTTCCTACATCGAGCCGAGCTCGAGCTTTATTTTTCGAGCTCGACGAGCTCGAGCTCGAACTCGAGCTCGCGTATAAATAAGTGTAGCTCGACTCGATAAATTCAAAACTCGATTCGACTCGGCTCGTTTGCACCCCTACCGGTGACCAACAAAAAATGTAAACATACCAGATTATCATGCGTAAAGAATAACAATTGATTTAAGGAGTTTAAATTGGTAAATACTAAGTAAGGGTATGTGGGATTTTTTTAAAATAATTATTTTTACGCATATTTCAACTATATTTTTATCTCGGATAAATTATATTTAAAAAATATATTTCTATAAAGAGTCTCGTGTAATTTATTGTGGGTCTTGCATGATGTCATTCGAGAACGACAAAATATACACCTCTTTATTATTTAAGTAATTGTTACAAGCTGCAAGATGGTTACTTTTTCATGTAACTAATATTTGCTTAGGTTTTTTCCCGAAAACTTGGCCTACTCTTTCCTTTATGAAAGCTTAATAAAGGACTGTGACCGAAAAAATAAAAGCTTTATAAGAAACTAATATTGGTAAAAATATAATTTTTTATTAATTGCACACACATTAGAACATGCCTTAATCACTAGAGATAAAATAATTATGAGAAAGGTAATATGGTAGGTTATTTTCTAATGCAATTTGATCCCAGTTGGTGATCAACAAAAAATGTAAATATATTGGATATATCATGTTTAAAGAATGACAATCGATTTAGGGAGTTTAATTGGTAAGAACTCGACAAGGGTACGAGGGATTTTGAAAAAAAAAAAAAAATCTTAATACATATTTTAATTACGCTTTTATTTCATATAAATCATATTAAAAAAACACACAATTACTAAATGGTGTTATTTTTAATCAGAGATTTTCGAGTCTCCTAAAAAAATATATATAATCCAAGACAACCTCTTATGTTTTGCCATGATGCCTAGTTGATGTGACCTATTAACATTTCTGAACGCCTATTCATAAATATTTGTAAAATCCAATTCCATTCTAAAGTAATTTTGGGGCCTAATTTCGTGGTACAACAAATGGTATATTTCAATTGAACCGGAAAGTATGACGTGGATATCAATCATTGTATATATTTTGTTGGCAATTGAAAACACACCAGTACTTGCCTCTTTCACGCCCATACCCACTGTCCATCTTTTATCCTATCCCAAAGAACAGAACATGCACATAAAAATTTTGGTTTTGTCCATATTTTTCTACATCCGATGCAGATTTAATTATATTTAACAAACATTACAATAAAATGGTTTAACATAATTAATAATTTTGGGAGATCTAGACATTCACTAGAGACGAGATTTCACATCTTACAATGAATAAGCAAATAACAGGTTGAAAATAAATCGCCAGGTATAGTACTCTCAGAAAAATAGGTATAGTTGAACAGTCAATTCCTCTCCAAATTAAAAGAAAAAGAAAAGCCCTAAAATGAACAGGACAGCCTAATCGCAATCGGGAAATGACTGAGATTCCCTTTCCTTGAGTGAAGTTGCTTAAAATTAGCAGCCAAAAAAAGGAATCAACCACACCTCAATTTCCGTACAGATTTTCCGCTTTCTCCCTTCCTCTTTCCTTTCTTCCCTACACCATTTCCAAATTCCTTTGGTTGTATATAACTAGCAAATAAACTATATCTTAATCTTCACAGTTCTCCCTTGCGTCAGCACATGTGTTCAGCTCTATCCATTAGCAGACTCTTTACATATCCACTGCCCGACTGTTAATTTTTTTCGGGAAAAGAATATTGTCGAATTTCATCCAATAATCCAAACCGGTCGCGAATTTAGCTTTTAGAAGTTGGGCCGTCGACAAAATTTGAACTTGATGGCTGCGAGTGCGAATCCATCTGCTGGTGGTGGTGGTGGTCAGAATAATGGTAATAGCAACAGCAATCACAGCAATAATAACGGCCAAAGAGCAAATGGCGCCACCAATAACGGTCTCTCCGTTCCTGAAAATTCCGTTTTGGGGCCTAACCAGGCGGGCCTCATGCACGACCCCGGTGTTAATACCGACTGGACCTCCGAAGAACAGTCCCTTTTGGAAGATTTGCTCAACAAGTCAGTAATTTTTTGTCCTAAGCAAAAACTTTGACTTTATTTTTTGAATTTATAAACTTGTGCAAAAGTTTAGGTTAGTTTGTGTGTTTGGTGGATCTGTGCGGTTAATTTAGACTCTTCAAAATCGTTCATGTAGCTGAATTTTCTTTGATTTAAGTGCATGTGCTCGTTTTTGCGTGCTATGCGTATTAACTGGTGTGACAGAATTTTACTCTCAATGAAGAACTACTATGTACAAAAGAAAAATAAATAAAGTTGCAACAAGTCAAGTTATGCAAAATAAACTGCATCAAAAACAAACTTTGTGCAACAACTGATAAATTATCTCACCTGAAGAATATAATAGAAAAGTGTTTAGGAAATTTTTTTTTTATCTGGTTATGCGTTGAATGTACGTTTCCAACTGGCATATGATCACGTACGACATACGGACAGAGTTGAATTGATGTCAAATTCATTTGCTGTCAAGATTGTTAACAACTCTTGTCATCTCTAATGGAATGTGTTTCATTCTTTTTCATTCTCTTTTAATCTTGTCCTTGTGTTGATGGTGGTATAGCTGCCTGAACATCAATTTATTGGTAACGAAGTGAATGTGAGATGATGTGACCATTTATCATACCAGAAAGCTACAAAGATTTTGTTTGTGGAATTATCAACCTAGGCTGAGCATGTGTTTCTCTTTGCCACCAGCTACGCTCAATGTTCTGATATTCTTTTATCATTTATTTCTTGGTCGTCGTGTTTTTTTTTTGGGGGGGGGGGAGGAGGAGGAGGTTATTATAGTAGTCTAGACTCTGGTCTAATTTTGGATATGCTAGTGGGTCAACTCTTTAGGTGGCCAAAAATATGTCTTTCATTTTCAGAGGCGGTACATGTGTAAGCTTTATGTTTACTTCTAAGTTGTAAATGATTTGGTTTAGACACTAAAATTCAAAAGTTTGAACTTGGTATGATTGATAGCACAATCTCTTAATGATTTAGTCATTTTAACTTTGTTCCTTTGTACTCCATAAATGTAATTTCTGAAGTTTCAACATTGATTAGGTAATCCAATCATTGTATTTTCTAGTTGTGGTTATCCATGTAGTTACAGTACCCATGCATGGGAGACTTATATTAAGTTGACAAATGGATGGGTCCTGCAGATATTCATCAGATGGAATTATTGTTCGATATGCTAAAATTGCTGGGCAGTTAAATGATAAAACAGTTCGTGATGTAGCATTGCGTTGCAGATGGATGAATGTAAGCTTTCCATATTCATATCTCTCTCCCCTCCCCCCAACCCCCTTGTTTCTTCCCGCATTCCACTTTCTGATATTGAAGAAACTTTTATCTTAAGCTATAAATTGTTATGCGCATCTTGATGAGATTAAAGGTGCCCAAAAAAAAAGCACATGTTTAATGGAGTGCCTTTTCACAACAGTGAGGTTGCTCCACTGCTGAATTAGGTGTCAAGGATTTGATGTTTTAAAGTGGCTTCAGTTCATGCAGGATAGTAAGGCAGCATACACTTCGTTCTTGTTAGACCTTACGGTATTGGAAGTTGCATTCTAATTTAACTTGATTTCTTTTCAAACATTTGATTGCCTTGAGAGGTCAATCTAAGCGACATTCTATTGTTTTTCTCGTGATTTTCAAACGATGATGGATGAAAGTTGTATTTGTAGTTTACTGGTCCCCTGTTACCCTTTCTTAAATGTAGGAGCAAAGCAAAGAAAGGCATGCTATTCAGAGGGGTTGATTTTCCTTTTGACTAATTAGTATGTCCTACAGTGTTGTACCGCTAAAAGTCATGCCTTTCTCTTTTGCAGAAGAAGGAAAATGGCAAGCGACGGAAGGATGACCATAATTCAGCAAGGAAAAGTAAAGACAAAAAGGTATTGCCTTACTGCAGGTTGTCATCTCTGCCTTGCTTGAAATCCACAATTGTGAGATTCAGAGGTTTCTTAATTTGTGCTGCAACCATTTTTTCCTTCAACACTATTTGGTCTTTGGTAGAATAAATTACACTCATGAGCACCACCATATTGCTGTATCGAGCCATAATGAAACATGAGATTTATTGTGACCAAGGCGCCAACCTTACCCCTGAGGCAGGCATGGGGCTTTGTGTTTAGGAGTAAGCTATTCGACCAATGTAGAAAGTCAAATGATTTAAACCAGAGATGTCTGGAGTTGTTTTGCTTAATATTTTTCTTATTAAAGAAAGCGAAGTTGCTTTTGCATTTAGATATTCCCTTCAAAATCTATATTTAGTCGTCTTAATCCAATAATGACAATTAGCTTTATAGCAGATGCCCTTAGTTTGTTGTCCACCTGCCTGCTCTGTTGCTTCTGATTTGCCTCCTTCAGTGCTTCCATCTTAATGCTCGCCTGCTGATTGTTGCTTTGAGATGCTTATCTTGCATACCACATATTTCTGTCGCAGTAAGTTGATGGAGGTCTATTTGGACCACTATTGAGAATAGGACTGCGGGGCAAGTTTTAGACTTTGTTACGCCATTTGGGACTTGGTTGTGATGGGGTTGAAGGAACACCAATCTGATGGCTGTTACATCTAGATTTGTCCTGGTTTTTAATGCTGATGGGCCTTGATCAACTTGATGGAATGGGATCTGGCTCTCTTGTATCAGGAGAATGGAACCTATGTAGTTCACTTAAACAACACATCCATTTTAGTAACGTATTGATCTTCTATACACCGGCAGTGTGTTGGGCTTCGATATATGACTACTAAACTTTAATATGGATTTGAAATCTAAATTTTACATATGTGGCATGCATCCAACCATGCTAGTGTGTACACCGTCAGTGTGCGGAAGATTAATCCTTCGTTTTATATATTAATTTATTTTTTGGTTCCCAGGAAAAAGTTACAGATTCTCTTCCAAAGTCTCATGCGGGTAACCGTACAAATGGCCCACCCTATGCTCAGTCAGTGATGTCCATGGACAGTGATGATGGCATCTCTTATAAAGGTTGGTCGACAGTTTTATGCGTTAGTGGGTAACTATATAAATCTTCCGTTCCTCTCCCGCTTCTAATCATGAAATGCAAGGCTGGATGGCTGATATGTTCTGTCTGATCAGTATATTGCTCCTCTTTCTCTTGATCAACATTTGTGCTTTTCAGCAATAGGTGGTGCAACTGGACAGCTTCTTGAGCAAAATGCTCAAGCCTTGGACCAAATTTCTGCAAATTTTGCTGCTTTCAAGGTGATTAAAGTTTTTGATTCTTTCTCTTGAGAAGTTTTTTTTCTTCACTCTAAGGAAGAACAGGAGGCTAGTAGTCTCATGTAGTTGCAGTTTCCTGATGCCATTTTCAACTGAATATTGAAACTAATAATTAGGTTACTTGCTACCCAACTTTGATTTCTTTTGGTGCTGGCAGTTATTGAAGCCCAGCTTTGTGGTTGAAAAATGATGCAATCTTCTAAAACTGAGAGTTCTGGCAATATTTTATTCTGGAATTCTTACTATTCCTTGTAATTGAGGAATGATGTGTTATGTCATAGTGAGGTTTTCTCTTTTCATTTGTTATCTTGTGTCAGATGATATCAGTGATTGTCCAGCAGTGACAATAATTGAAATAAGTCTAGCTGCGTAAATGGAAATATGCAGTTCTCTTATGACAGTGTTATGAAAAGTTTTCTGTCATTCTGCAATGGTATTGTCTACATTATTAGTGATGTCGCTTGAGAATTTCTTCATGCTATTGGCGTTCTATATAATTTCTGTTCATTGACATCTTTGGCATTTATATTACTGCAAAACTTAGTCCCTGGTTGTGAACAGCTAATATTGACAGTGCTTTTCTTATCCAAATTTTTTGCAGATACAAGAGAATATAAATCTCTTTTGCCAAGCTCGAAACAATATCCTTAGCATCATGAACGAGTACGTCATGCTGGCTAGTTTACCTACAATTTTTTGCATGTTTTTGTTTTACATTAAGAGAAACTTAATGTTATCCTTCACGTTTTTTCACCTGTCCTCCTGAATTTTCAATTTTTTTCCCTGTATTGTTCCTTTCTTTTGATTTTAAAATCCTAAACATGCTTTGATCTTCCAGGAAAAAAGGGGTTCATGACATTTGATCCTGATACGCCTCTAAAAATGTTTTTTTTTTCCCATTTAATTTGTAGACGGTTTCTTTATCTAAATACCGTTTCCATGGACCATGGTTCAAACTTCATAGGGACTTTTCAGTAGTTAAGATCTGGATGATTATTCCTCAGGGAAGGACCTTTACAAATGGTAAGAGCAAGAAGACACATTCTGAGGAAATGATTGGACGGTATTTATGCTAATTGTTAAAAGAGTTTAAAATGATATGTTAAGAACTCCTCCGGAACTCTGTTTTTGTTTTTTCAACTGATCTATTAGTTCTTATGATTGTCCACAACTGCCATGTGTGATAATGTGAGCTGGCTTGTACATGCAGCTTGAATGACCTGCCAGAGATAATGAAGCAGATGCCGCCGCTTCCTGTGAAGCTGAACGAAGATCTTGCCAACAACATTCTTCCTCGGGCGTCCTTGCCTAAGAAATCTTGAGGTGCTGGCTCTCCTCATGCGGCTGCTCACTCATGATGCTTTTGACTGTGTCCCTGGAATTGGGACCATTGTGATTAACAGATAGCTAAATAAACAGGCTAATTATGTCTAGTTGTTCTGCTATATAAAGTTTAGATTTAAGTGATTATCTTGTGCTGTTGTTTATTTTTCATTTTAGGAGTAATTTGTCGATTGTGTATACGGTTGGTTGGCTCATAGTTGCGTAAGAAGGATTTTTTTTTTTTCCTTTTTTGGTCAAAAACGTGAGAAGGATTTTTCACTCTGTAAATCTTTCAATGAAAAGCGGTGAATGCAGGATTTTTGGTTTATAATAAGTAGGGAATCGTAAACTCCTGATGATGGCTTTACCTTTCTTTATCATTTCTCAAAGAACCTCTCATTTAAGGATAAACCTAAGGTTGTTTGAGGAGTGCTAATATCATTTCTCTTTTTTAATTTTTATTTTTTTTGCCAATCATTAACTTTTGTGCTATTTGCATTCCCACTCTAACTTATTCAGGAGAGGATTCAATTGGATCAAGAGAAGTTAGAGGTTCCTCACCGCTAAATTGAAGGGATGCGCGACTAGACAATCTCTTTATATTTCTACTTAAGTGCCAGGATTTGCTAACCTTACGTTTAATATTTCATTTGGTGGCCAGGTCTCCGAAAGAGAGTTGAAGCTCTTCACAAATACGTACATCAAAAAATGAATATGATACGGCAAAATTTAACAGCAACAAAATGTGGGTATGGCAAAATTCTATAGTAACTTTACTCTTATATTTTTTCAATATGAAGATATACGAAGATAGTGATATATATATACAATTTAAATCATTCATTGCAATTATGGTTAAAATTATGGTATATAAAAATTAAAAATACTTATTTTACTATTCAATTATATTTATTTCATCATATATTTGTGAACTTATTTTACTATTTAATCATATTTATTTCATCATATATATTGGTGAATTTAAGTTGAGGACATGATTCCCGAGAGGAATTATAGAATCCCTCTGCGTGTGTACGACAAGTGTTAATATATATATTTGACACGGGATCAATTGGAATAACAACAATATCCAAGTGGCTCAAAATAATCAAAAGAAAAACGTCAAATTTTGAGTATCATAATCTAATTATCTGTTGTCTCAAACTTTTTTTATGGATCTTCTGATCCGATTGTAAGTTCATGACAAAAGTAGTACTACTATTTTAGTAGAACAATTTTGGCTTGGAAAAAAAAAAGAAAAATGGAAAATGCAAAGTGTTGACATCAGAATGACGTGTGAATCGGAGTTACATAAACCCTCCACAGGTGTCCGCACCATTTTTAAGGTGGGGGAGCTGTATAGATACTTTTGGACAGTACATACAATCCCATGCCATCGTCACCCTCGGCTCCGTCTGCTGTATCTGCCGTTATCCATTTCTGTTTCGCCTAAAAATTCCCACTTTTCTCCGTTCAACTATCGGTTCTGAATCTCTCTCCGCTCTCTGAAAATAATTTCGTAGATTACTTGTAACTTGGCTAATTATTGTCTACCGATTATTTGAGCTTTTTGTCTCTGACGGGTAAAGAAGAGTGAGTCGGAGGGAGGAGGGACAATGACGGAGGCGTCACCGAAGCTGACGCCGGAGGAAGAGAAGCTCACTATCCGAGACATTACGGTTTCCGCCGAAGCCCAAACTAAAGAAGGCGATACCTTTTATTTACTCAATCAAAGGTATTTCTTATTCCGAAGCGGATGCTTTTAAAGATTTTAACCTGAAACTTTTTCTTAGTTTTGTTTTTTCTTTCGGTTGGTTCTTTTGTTCTGACGTTATTTCCGCCGCGACACATCTCTCTCTCTCTTTTAAAAGACTAAAAACCTTGATTAGGACAGTTAGGGTTTAAGAGACTTCGCTCTCAATGCCGGTCGATGCTTAAATTTTACTTGCATTTTGTAAATTAAGGCTTCAGGATTGGAAGCAGATAAATATGTGATCTTGAGTACGGAGGTGGAGGTGAAGAACTCCCCCATCACCCCCCCCCCCCGGCGGCCCAGCCCCAGCCCCACACACACAACAACACCTACCCACCCAAAAAAACGCCCGCCCCAAAAGCTTTGCTTCCCACATGTTTCATGCTCTCTAGTGTTTGCAGAATAAGCCCAGGGAAGCCTTCTAAAACTTCTCAAAGGCTTTTAAATTGACTATTTTATTCATTTGCCAAAATTGCAATTCAGGAGATAGGATATGTTTTTCTTTTTCCCTTTTTTGTTCCTTCTAGTTTATAGTAGTTAGCAATACTAAAAGTTTCGACATTATTTTCTGTGCTGCATTTTCTTTTCTTCCTTTGCTCTTAAGCTTTGAATCAGATTCTCGCTGGTAACGATATTGCTGCTCATTAAGTGTTGTAAAATTTTTGAATTACTCGGTATTGTTGCTCATTTAAGTGTTGTAAGAATTTTGAATTACTCAGTACATACTTCTGTGGCGATAAATTATGAAGCTTTTTTCATCCTTATCTTTATGACTTCTTACAGATGGTGGCAGGAGTGGCTTGAATATGTGAATCAAAGCCCAGCGACCAATACAAATAATGGATCCTCTTTTGACCACCACGATTCTGTCGATTCAAGTTCTTTGAAGGGACCGTCAAGCATTGACAATTCTGATTTATTGTATGAAGTGACTTCAGATAAATCTACACCGCGGACTGAGCTTCATGAGACCCTCGTGGAAGGCACTGACTTCATATTGCTTCCACAAGAAGTATGGAATCAGTTCTGTGCATGGTAAGTTGAATTGTATGCCTATAAGTTAATTCACTTGTTGTGTTTCTATGTTAATTCATTGCTTGTGCTTTCTGGTGTATACTTTACAACTATTATCCTTGTTTTGCATTCCAACCAAATTTAATTTCCTATATTTGAGTCAAACTTAATGTAAAATTCCACAAATTGGAATGCAGAAATGAGGCTCACGGAAAGAGGAGTAGAGGAAAACAGGGAATGGTGATAGTAAATCAGGGAGGAGGCTGTTGCATTAAGATTATAAACTAAATTTACTGATAGATTCTACTTTGTTGGATTTTCAATACTCATCTATCATATTGAAGGTTAATAAATCCACTTGCCAATGTTTATCATACTACAGAGATGTCCCTGAAATTTTAGTGCCAAAATTATCTTTTTTTGAGAAAAGTGGGGAGGCTAGGAAAATTTTATGTTGGTGTGGACAAATTGCCGTGCATGCCTAGGTAGTTCCATGTGCACATGCAAAGGGCCCACTTGACTGCATGCAGATATGCAAGTGGGCCCCACTTGGTATATAAATTGGTAAGTGGGGTTTTTATATGTTGACACGAGACTGTCTCATTGATCATGGGCCGACTACTAAGTGTGCCTAGTTGTTGGTCCGGACCATCGTAAAACTTCTTGGGGAGGCCATTATATTCAGCATTTGATGCCAATTTTGTGGAAGTCTGTCCACTTTAATGGTGACAAGCAGTGGTCAGTGGGAGTTCAGAAACACTTAGCTGAGGCCCTTGGAGTTTTGAAAAGTTTCAGTGAGTCTGTAAATTTTTATTGAACTTAGTTTTCTTACCTCTGGTGGTTATATGCAGTTACCTGCCCTTGTGCATTATGCTGTATGCTAGCCTAAATGTTTTAGTCCAATTTAGATTGGTTCACTAATCAATCTTGGATAATAATTGGATTCCTTTATATCCTTTTGTCTCCAAATTATGATTTATTTTAAATGATATTCATATACATTTCTTAATCTTTATTTTCTGGTAAACTTAATGAAAATGTTTTCAACATGGATAAAACAATATAATTTTTTCCTCCTATTGAGAAGCTGGCTGGCTGAGATAGGGGATGTGGAATTGTGAACAACCAATTACATAGCTGAAGGCAAGTGTGTCTCAAATTGCAAAGAGATTAGAGTGTTATATTTGAAGCAGATTTAATGGAAACAAGCTGAACAAGACCCTGCAATCTATTTTTATTGCATCATATGCCTTCCAATTTTTTTTTATGGAGTTAGAATATCCTTTTTGTATGATCTTAAAGCAGCGAAGATCATATTTTCTAATGATCCATCGTGTAATAGACATTAGAAGGTCTAAAGGATTACTTAATGATTCAGTGAGGTTAATACTAACTGCTTGGTGGGTCAGGTACGGAGGAGGTCCTCCAGTGGCTCGCAAAGTAATCAACTCTGGTGTCTCTAAAACAGAGTTGTCTGTGGAAGTTTATCCTCTGCGGCTGCAATTACATTTGATGCCAAAAGGTGATAGAGCTACTACAAGAATAAGCAAAAAGGTATCCATATGTTTTATTTGACTCACTTCTTTGGCCTAGAGGATAATATGAGAAGCAAAAAAAAAAAAAAAACTCTTCTTTCTCCTAGTTCAAATAACTGAACTTATTAGATGGATGGTTATTGCAATGTTTTGTCAGGAAACTATTGGAGAACTCCACAAAAGAGCTTGTGAAATTTTTGACCTTAATCCAGATCAAGTAAACACTGCTGGTTCTTGTGTTCGACTCTGGTTTGCATTTGACCAATATCATGTTTCTTTTGTACCATATAAATCTGTTAATTGCTTTCAGGTGTACATTTGGGATTACTTCAGTCATCGGAAGCATGCTTTGATGAATGATATGGAAAAGACACTTGATGATGCAAATATACAAATGGACCAGGACGTAAGTTAATCTGTGATGCACATCACGTTAATCTTACAAGTTTGTTATGCTCTTCTGGAAGCCTTTTTTTTTTTTTTTCCTTTTAAAGGAGGTTGATGTTTTGATGTTTTTGATGGATAAATAATCGCTCAATTCTATCCATAATCATTTGATGTCAAGTTAGATAGCTATAGATGTCCACTATGGTCTTACATGTAAATAGACATTTACTTCTAGCAGTCATTGGACTCTCCTTCTAGTGCCATTAGTAAGACGATCTATAGCTTATAAAAGCATGCTCATATTTGCTATCTTAAAAAGTTTCCTTTTCAAGTGGCGCAAAGTCCACTGGATACGTTAGTCGATCAAATCTTGTCCCAAATTAAGTTTGGTGTGTCTTATTAGTTGGCAATTTTTGTCCTTCTGTGCTAAATTTAGACGCGCAGTGGGATCGCTGGACCTACATTCTAATGTGATGATTCTGATGTAGCTTCACATGTGCACTCTGTTTTAGCTTGTCCATATAAGTTGCACCTTAGATTCTCAATGGATACATTGTTTGGTTCCTCATTTGCATACCATTCAAGTACCTATCATTGTCTGCTATCGAGTTTTTCTGCTTCCAGATTTGCCAGTTTTTAGCAAGT